TTCGGGGAAAGCCACTGTGCCAGAGCAGTGGTGCTCTGTGAGGGAAGAAGAGCAAGGGGTAGAGAGGGAGGCAAGTTGCAGGCTCTGTTTGCATCTCGCAGGAATGAGGTATGGGCATGGGATACAGGGCGGTCCGTGTTCAACCATCACCTACAGGGACAAGCAGCCTCCAACACTCCATGCAACACTCACCTGTCATCACTTGAAGGTGTCCTGTGAAGGAGAGCAGAAAGACTATGTACAACCTTTGGAAGATGCATTGCATGAAGCCAAGGGAATAGATTTTCTGGAGCTGGGATCCTCCCAAGAAATGGAGTGACACCATGGCCTAGTGCATGTGTGTGCTGAGGCCATGTCCTGTCTCAAGCAACCTTGAGGGTACTGCTGGTTCTGAACAGAATGAAGGCAACTTGCCAAGGCCACGCAGCTGGTCTTACAAGACTGCACAAGAATCCGACTTCTGTCCATACTGATAATGCTATCCTTCAACCCTACCGATGTTTCCCACCTTGCTTGAGGGTACTGCTGGTTCTGAACAGAATGAAGGCAACTTGCCAAGGCCACGCAGCTGGTCTTACAAGACTGCACAAGAATCCGACTTCTGTCCATACTGATAATGCTATCCTTCAACCCTACCGATGTTTCCCACCTTGCTTCTCTCCTTCCCTCGTTCTCTTTGTCATGCCTTCCATTTTCCCAGTTTCCTACATCAGCTTTTTTCAGAGACATGTTATTCCTGATGATTCCACCCACACACGAAAGCCTCAGCAGCGTATCCCAAATATGGGCACCTGCTATAGCGATCCCAGTGACACCGTGTTCATGGTTAGTATGGAGAAATCTTGTCTCACAGATACAAGCACGTCCCTCTTAGAAGGCTTCTCTCCTTCCAGAATGGCAACATCCCAGACAGCACAGACTACTCACCCATCATCTCTCTCACTTGGGCTACAAAAGCAAGAGGAGAGAAAGTTAGCAAAGAGAAATCACTGGGCTCAGTCCCCACCTGGGCTCCCAAAGTGGGCATTTGGCTGTCTTAATTTCATTTGCTTCACTTCATGACTATGGAGAGGAAGGGGATCTGCAGGAATGAGGTCCCGGTGGCATGGGCCAAGCATGGAGCCTGGAGGCTCTGCACATGTCAAGCCAACCATGAGTTCTCAGCAGCTGCAAGGCACGAAGCTGCATGAGCTTCTAGAAGCATGGCCAAGTGATGCATGGAGAGAGGCTGGGAAGGCCATAGCTGGCAGCGAGTGCTCAGCTGTGGTCTAATGAGTTCACAAGAGGTAGGGAGAAGCACGAGAGGCTTAAGTGGAGAGCTGCCCAACTGTGTGGGAGGGTAGGAGTCCTGCCAGGCCTGGACTGTCAGCAGAGGCCACAGACTCCTTCTGAGTAGGCAAAAGGACATAAAGGGAATGATCTGCAAGGAGCCTGTAGCTGCAGGAAGAGCATTGCCCAAGAGGGTTGTGAGAAGCATGGATAAGAAGAGGCAGGCTCTTTAGGAGGGAGACACTGCCGTGAGACGGAGCTGGGGAGGGTGAGGCCAGACATATGGGGAATGTTCCCTATGGCAATGTTGGGATCCATATTTCATGGATGGGAGTCATTGGGAAAAACCCATGACTTTCTGCCTGCTTGTCCTGGTTAAGCCAAGGGAATGGCTTTTCTGGAGCTGGGATCCTCCCAAGTAGTGTTGCCAGGTGCAGGAAAGAGGACAAATGGGCAGAGAGGGAGGCAAGCAGCAGGCTCTTCTCCTTGCTGGCAAGTGGGAGTGCTAGGGCCATCTACAAAGCGTGCCCCCCTTTCCCACTCTGCACTCAAGGGACAAGCAACCTCCCATATGCCAGGCAGCACTCACCTGTTGTCTCTTGAAGGTGTCCTGCAAGGGAGAGGAGAAAGGCAGTTACAGGCATTGAAGGATGCATTGCAGGAAGCCCCGGGAATGGGGTTTGCTGTAGTTGGATTCCTCCCGAGAAGCTGAGTTCATTCATGGACAAGCGCAAGTTTGTGCTAAGGCCAAGTCCTGCCCCTTGGCAACCTTGCGGGTGCTGGTGTCTCACCACAGCACAAAGGCAACTCGAATAGGCCATGCAGCCGGACTTAGAAGACATCAGACAACATGACTTCTGCCCACAATGAAAACCATATTCCTCCACCCCACAAGAGTTTCCTTCCTTCCTACTTTCCTTCTATCTCTCTCCCTGTCATTCTTTCCCTCTCCCCTCCTACCCGTATGAGGTTCTCTCAGGACCAAGCCATTTACACAGATTACAGACACACCTGAATGTTTCGGATGAGTTACCTGAACATGTCTAATTGCTGCAGGTACCCCAAGGACACCATACATTTGGCCCACATGGGGACACCCTTGTCCCTCAGAAATAAAGCATGTTCCTCTGCCAAGGAGCCTCTCCCTCTACAATGGCAACACTCATGAGAGCAGAGAAGACTTACCCTTCTCTTCTTGGACGTGGGCTATAAAAGGAAGGGGAAAGGCAGTTAGCAAAGAGAGATGGCCAGGCTCAGTCCTCACTTTGGGTGCAGACGTGGGTGTTTCTCTAGGTCTGCCTTTCCATTGCCCCTGGTGATGGTTACTGAGGGGAAAGGGATCAGAAATAATTGCAAGCCATTGGCATGGGGCAAGCCTGAAGCCTGGAGGCTCTGCAGGAGAAGAGGCTAGGGTCTCAGCAGGTGCAAGGCAAGATGCTGCCTGAGCTTCTGGAAGCATGGCCAAGTGATGTATGGAGAGAGGCTTGGAAGGCCACAGGTGGCATTGAGTGATCATCTGTGGGCTGCTGAGTTCACAGGAGATAGGGAGGGACTGTGGAGGCCTCAGCAGAGATCTCCTTAGCTGTGCAGGATGGTGGAGGAGGTGGCATGACTGGCCTGGCAGAGGATGCCAAGGAATCCCTCCATGTGGCCAAGAGGAGATTCAGGGGAAGCACCTGCAAGGAGGCCGTAGGTCCAGGAAGGATATTGCTGAAGTAGACAGTGAGAATCAAGAGTAGGTGGGGGATGACTGTTTAGCAGGGAATCATCTGCATGGAACACAGATAGGGAGGATGAGGCTAGACATATAGAGAACATTCCCCCTGGCAATGGTGGAACCGATTGAAAAAAGCCCACGAGTGTCATCCTGGACATTTCTGTGGAAGCCACTGTGCCAGAGCAGTGGTGATCTGTGAAGGAAGGAGAGCAAGGAGCAGAGAGGGAGGCAAGTTGCAGGCTCGGTTTGCATCTCGCAGGAATGAGGTATGGGCCGTGGGATACAGGGTGGTCCATGTTCCACCGTCACTACAGCGACAAGCAGCCTCCAACACGCCATGCAACACTCACCTGTCATCACTTGAAGGTGTCCTGTGAAGGAGAGCAGAAAGACTATGTACAACCTTTGGAAGATGCATTGCATGAAGCCGAGGGAATGTATTTTCTGGAGCTGGGATCCTCCCAAGAAATGGAGTGACACCATGGCCTAGTGCATGTGTGTGCTGAGGCCATGTCCTGCCTCAAGCAATCTTGAGGGTGCTGCTGATTGTGGACAGAACGAAGGCAATTTGCGAAGGCCATGCTGCTGGTCTTAAAAGACTTCACATGAAGGTGACTTCACTCCACACTGATAATCCTACGCCTCAACCCTACTGGTGTTTGCAGCCTTCCTTCTCTCCTTCCCTCGTTCTCTTTGTCATGCCTTCCATTTTCCCAATTTCCTACATGAGCTTTTTTCAGAGACATGTTATTCCTGATGATTCCACCCACACACGAAAGCCTCAGCAGCGTATCCCAAATATGGGCACCTGCTATAGCGATCCCAGTGACACCGTGTTCATGGTTAGTATGGAGAAATCTTGTCTCACAGATACAAGCACGTCCCTCTTAGAAGGCTTCTCTCCTTCCAGAATGGCAACATCCCAGACAGCACAGACTACTCACCCATCATCTCTCTCACTTGGGCTACAAAAGCAAGAGGAGAGAAAGTTAGCAAAGAGAAATCACTGGGCTCAGTCCCCACCTGGGCTCCCAAAGTGGGCATTTGGCTGTCTTAATTTCATTTGCTTCACTTCATGACTATGGAGAGGAAGGGGATCTGCAGGAATGAGGTCCCGGTGGCATGGGCCAAGCATGGAGCCTGGAGGCTCTGCACATGTCAAGCCAACCATGAGTTCTCAGCAGCTGCAAGGCACGAAGCTGCATGAGCTTCTAGAAGCATGGCCAAGTGATGCATGGAGAGAGGCTGGGAAGGCCATAGCTGGCAGCGAGTGCTCAGCTGTGGTCTAATGAGTTCACAAGAGGTAGGGAGAAGCACGAGAGGCTTAAGTGGAGAGCTGCCCAACTGTGTGGGAGGGTAGGAGTCCTGCCAGGCCTGGACTGTCAGCAGAGGCCACAGACTCCTTCTGAGTAGGCAAAAGGACATAAAGGGAATGATCTGCAAGGAGCCTGTAGCTGCAGGAAGAGCATTGCCCAAGAGGGTTGTGAGAAGCATGGATAAGAAGAGGCAGGCTCTTTAGGAGGGAGACACTGCCGTGAGACGGAGCTGGGGAGGGTGAGGCCAGACATATGGGGAATGTTCCCTATGGCAATGTTGGGATCCATATTTCATGGATGGGAGTCATTGGGAAAAACCCTAGAAACACTGGAGCACGCATTGCATAAAGCCAAGGGAATGGCTTTTCTGGAGCTGAGATCCTCCCAAGAAATCAAGTGACACCATGGCCTAGTGCATGTGTGTGCTGAGGCCATGTCCTGTCTCAAGCAACCTTGAGGGTGCTGCTGGTTTGCAACAAAAAAAAGGCAACTTGCCAAGGCCATACATCTGGACTTACAAGACTTCACAAGAAGCTGACTTCTCTCCACACAGATAACCATGCTGCTCAACCCTATCAGTATTTCCTTGTTTACTTCCTTCTCCGCTTCCCTCCCTCTCGTTGTCATGCCTTCCATCTTCCCTGTCTCCCACATAAACTTTTCTCAGAGACACTATATTTGTGCCCACACGTGAAAGCCTCAGCAGCATATCCCAAATATGGGCACCTGCTATAGGGATCCCAGTGACACTGTGTTCATGGTTCACAAGGAGAGATCTTGTCTCACAGATACAAGCACGTCCCTCTTAGAAGGCAACTCTCCTTCCAGAATGGGAACATCCCAGACAGCAGAGACTACTCACCCATCATCTCTCTCACTTGGGCTACAAAAGAAAGGGGAAAGTCAGTTAGCAAAGAGAAATCGCTGGGCTCAGTCCCCGCCTGGACTCCAAGCCTGAGAATTTGGCTGGTTCTGCCTTTCCTTTGCTTCACTTCATGGCTCCTGTTGGGAGCCATCTGCAGGAATGGGGACCCGGTGGAATGGGCCAAGCATGGAGCCTGGACTCTTTGCAGGAGTAGAGCCAACCATGGGCTCTCAGCAGCTACAAGGCACAGTGCTGCATGAGCTTCTAGAAACATGGCCAGCTGATGCATGGAGAGAGGCTGGGCAGACCACAGCTGGCAGCGAGTGCTCAGCTGTGGGCTAATGAGTTCACAAGAGATAGGGAGGAGCATGAGAGTCTTAAGTGGAGAACTGCCCAGCTGTGTGGGAGGGTAGGAGACTTGCCATGCCTGGACTGTTAGCAGAGGCCACAGACTTCTTCCGAGTAGGCAAAAGGAGATGATGGGAACGGTCTGCAAGGAGCCTGTAGGTGCAGGAAGGGCATTGCTCAAGAGGGTTGTGAGAAGCATGGATAGGAAGAGGCAGGCTCTTTAGGAGGGAGACACTGCTGTACGACGGAGATGGGGAGGGTGAGTTTAGACATATGGGGAATGTTTCCTATGGCAATGGTGAACGGTGAATTTGATGGAAGAGAGCCATTGGGAAAAGCCCATGACTTTCCAACTTTGTGCTCCCATTGAAGACGTTCCAGAGTAATGGTGCCACGTGCGTGAAAGAGGGCAAATGGGCACAGAGGGAGGCAAGAAGCAGGCTCTGTTCCTTGCTGGCAAGAAGGAGTGCTGGGGCCATGCAAACCGAGTGCTCCCCATTCCACCCTGAAGTGTACGGACAAGCAGCCTCTCATATGCCAGGCAGCACTCACCTGTCGTCTCTTGAAGGTGTCCTGCAAGGGAGAGGAGAAAGGCAGTTATAACCACTGGAGGATGCATTGCATGAAGCCATGGGAAGGGGTTTGCCATGACTGGCATCCTCCCGAGAAGTCGAGTGCATTCATGGACAAGTGCGTGTTTGTGCTAAGGCCAAGTCCTGCCCCTGGCAACCTTGAGGGTGCTGGTCCCTCATAGCAGCACAAAGGCAACTTGCCAAGGCCATGCAGCTGGACTTAAAAGACCTCAGACAAGGTGACTTCTGCCCACAATGAAGACCATCTTCCTTCACCCCACCAGAGTTTCCTTCCTTCCATCTCTCTTTCCAACCTTCTCATAGTCATTCCTTCCCTCTTCCCTCCTTCCCACATGAGGTTCTCTCAGGGTCAAGCCATTTACACAGATTGCAGGCATATGTGAAGGTGTCGGCTGGGTTGTCTGAACATGGCTAAGTGCTGCAGGGATCTGAAGGACAGCACACTCATAGCGCGCATGGGGACACCCTTGTCCCTCAGAAATAAAGCATGTTCCTCTGCCAAGGAGCCTCTCCCTCTACAATGGCAACACTCATGAGAGCAGAGAAGACTTACCCTTCTCTTCTTGGACGTGGGCTAGAAAGAGAGATGACCGGGCTCAGTGCTCACTTTGGATGCAGACATGGGTGTTTCTCTAAGTCTGCATTTGCATTGCCCTAGGTGATGGTTACTGAGGGGAAAGGGATCAGAAATAATTGCAAGCTGTTGGCATGGGGCAAGCCTGGTGCCTGGAGGCTCTGCAGGAGCAGAGGCAACCCTGGGCCCTCAGCAGCTGCAAGGCAAGATGCTGCCTGAGCTTCTGGAAGCATGGCCAAGAGATGCGTGAGGCTTGGAAGGCCACAGGTGGCATTGAGTGATCAGCTGTGGGCTCCTGAGTGCTAAGGAGATATGGAGAGGCTGTGGAGGCCTTAGTGCAGACCGGCCTTGCTGTGCAGGATGGTGGAGGAGGTGCTGTTACGGGCTGGTAGGGGAGGCCAAGGAATACTTCCATGTGGCCAAGAGGAGATTCAGGGGAAGACTCTGCAAGGAGCCTGTAGCTCCAGGAAAGTCATTGCCCAAGTTGACGGTAAGAAGTGAGGATCGGTGGGGGATGACTGTTTAGCAGGGAGACATCTGCATGGAACGCAGATGGGGAGAATGAGGCCAGACATATAGAGAGCATTGCCCTAGCAATGGTGGACTGCCACTTTGATGGGTAGGACCAGTTGACAAAAGCCCATGACTGTCACCCTGGGCATTTCTGTGGAAGCCTGTGTGCCATTTCAGTGGTGCTCTGTGAGGGAAGGAGAGCAAGGGACAGAGAAGGAGGCAAGCAGCAGGCTCTGTTTGTGTCTCGCGGAATGAGGTATGGGCCCAGGGACACAGGGTGCTCCCCATTCCACCATCACCTATAGGGACAAGCAGCCTCCAGCATGCCACACAACACTCACCTGTCATCCTTTGGAGTTGTCCTGCGAAAGAGAGCACAAAAACTGTGTACAACATTGGGAGGATGCATTGCATGAAGCCAAGGGAATGGTTTTGCTGGAGCTGGGATCCTCCCAAGAAATCAAGTGACACCATGGCCTAGTGCATGTGTGTGCTGAGGCCATGTCCTGTCTCAAGCAACCTTGAAGGAGCTGCTGGTTTGCAACAGAAAAAAGGCAACGTTCCAAGGCCATGCAGCTGGTCTTAAAAGACTGCACAAGAAGGTGACTTCTCTCCACACTGATAATCAAATTGCTCTACCCTGTTAGTATTACCTTGCTTATGTCCTTCTCTTCTTCCCTCCTTCTCTTTGTCATGCCTTCCATCTTCCCTGTCTCCCACATAAACTTTTCTCAGAGACACTATATTTGTGGTGATTCCACCCACATGTGAAAGCCTCAGCAGCGTATCCCAAATATGGGCACCTGCTATAGGGATCCCAGTGACACTGTGTTCATGGTTCGTATGGAGAAATCTTGTCTCTCAGATACAAGCACATCCCTCTTAGAAGGCAACTCTCCTTCCAGAATACAACAGGTAACGCTCCTTCCAGAATACAACACCCCAGACAGCAGAGACTACTCACCCATCATCTCTCTCACTTGGGCTACAAAAGGAAGGGGAGAGAAAGTTAGCAAAGAGAAATCACTGGGCTCAGTCCCCACCTGAGCTCCAACATGGGCATTTGGCTGTCTCTGCCTTTCCTTTTGTTTCACTTTGTGGCTCCTGTGGTGAAAGGGATCTGCAGGAATGGGGACCCGGTGGCATGGGCCAAGCATGGAGCCTGGAGGCTCTGCACATGTCAAGCCAACCATGAGTTCTCAGCAGCTGCAAGGCACGAAGCTGCATGAGCTTCTAGAAGCATGGCCAAGTGATGCATGGAGAGAGGCTGGGAAGGCCATAGCTGGCAGCGAGTGCTCAGCTGTGGTCTAATGAGTTCACAAGAGGTAGGGAGAAGCATGAGAGGCTTAAGTGGAGAGCTGCCCAACTGTGTGGGAGGGTAGGAGTCCTGCCAGGCCTGGACTGTCAGCAGAGGCCACAGACTCCTTCTGAGTAGGCAAAAGGACATAAAGGGAATGATCTGCAAGGAGCCTGTAGCTGCAGGAAGAGCATTGCCCAAGAGGGTTGTGAGAAGCATGGATAAGAAGAGGCAGGCTCTTTAGGAGGGAGACACTGCCGTGAGACGGAGCTGGGGAGGGTGAGGCCAGACATATGGGGAATGTTCCCTATGGCAATGTTGGGATCCATATTTCATGGATGGGAGTCATTGGGAAAAACCCATGACTTTCTGCCTGCTTGTCCTGGTTGAAGATGCTGTGCAACATTAGTGATGTTATGAGCGGGAAAGAGGGCAAATGAGCAGAGAGGGAGGCAAGCAGCAGGCTCTGTTCCTTGCTGGCACGAGGGAAGGGCTGTGCCAGGGACACTGAGCTTTCCTGATTCCCACCCTGCACTCAAGGGACAAGAAGCCTCCCATATGCCAGGCAGCACTCACCTGTCACTTCTTGAAGGTGTCCTGCAAGGGAGAGGAGAAAGGGAGTTACAGGCATTGGAGGATGCATTGCACGAAGCCCCAGGGAAGGGGTTTGCCATGGTTGGCATCCACCCACGAATTCGAGTGCATTCATGGACAAGTACCAGTTTGTGCTAAGGCCAAGTCCTGCCTCTGGCAACCTTGCAGGTACTGGTGCCTCATAGCAGCACAAAGGCAACTTGTCAAGGCCATGCAGCTGAACTTAAAGGACCTCAGACAAGGTGACTTCTGCCCACAATGAATACCATCTTCCTCCACCCTACCCAAGTTTCCTTCCTTCCCGCTATCCTTCCATTCCTTCCCTCTTCCCTCCTTCCCACATGAGGTTCTCTCAGGGCCAAGCCATTTACACAGATTCCAGACACACCTGAAGGTTTCGGATGAGTTACCTGAACATGGCTAAGTGCTGCAGGGGCCTAAAGGACACCATGCTTGTGGCCCACATGGGACACCCTTGTCCCTCAGAAACCAGCATGTACCTCTGCCAACGAGCCTCTCCCTCTACAATGGCAACACCTCAGACAGCAGAGAAGACTCACCCTTCTCTTCTTGGACGTGGGCTAGAAAAGGAAGGGGAAAGGCAGTTAGCAAAGAGAGATGGCCGGGCTCAGTCCTCACTTTGGATGCAGACATGGGTGTTTCTCTAGGTCTGCCTTTGCATTGCCCTAGGTGATGGTTACTGAGGGGAAAGGGATCTGAAATAATTGCAAGCCATTGGCATGGGGCGAGCCTGGAGGCTCTGCAGGAGAAGTGGCAACCCTGGGCTCTCAGCAGCTGCAAGGCAAGATGTTACCTGAGCTTCTGGAAGCATGGCCAAGTGATGCATAGAGAGAGGCTTGGAAGGCCACAGGTGGCATTGAGTGATCAGATGTGGGCTCCTGTGTTCACAAGAGACAGTGAGGGGTTATAGAGGCCTTAGCAGAGATCTCCTCAGCTGCTGAGGGTGGTGGAGGAGTTGCCATGACTGGCCTGGCAGCTAAGACCATGGCCACTTTGCATGTGACCAAGAGGAGATTCAGGGGAAGCATCTGCAAGGAGCCTGTAGCTCCAGGAAAGGCATTGTCCAAAAGTTAGGGTAGAAGCATGAATAGGTGGAGACGATTATTTATGAGGGAGACATGTCCATGAAATGGCACTGGGGACGGTGAGGTTAGCCATATGGGGTACTTTCTCCTTGGCAAGGTTGGACGCCCACTTTGATGGGTAGGACCAATTGACAAAAGCCCATGATTGTCACCCTGGGCATTTCTGTTGATGTTGTTGTGCCAGATCAGTGGTACCATGTGAGAGAGCAAGAAGCAGAGAAGGAGGCAAGCGGCAGGGTCTCTTTGCATCTGTAAGGGATGATGGCTGAGCCCAGGGACACAGAATGCTCCCATTCCCACCGTCACCTGTAGAGACAAGCAGACTCCCACACGGTGGTCAGCACTCACCTATCATTCCTTCATATTGTCCTGCAAAGGTGAGGAGAAAGGCTGTTACAGTCAGTGGAGAATGTGTTACATGAAGCCCCAGGGAAGGGTTTTGCTGCTAGTTGGGATCCTCCCAAGAAGTTGAGTTCATTCTTTGGAATAGTGCATGTGTGTTCTGAGGCTATGAATATGCTGACAACCTTGAATATGCTGGTGCCTCTCAGCAGAACAAAGACACATGGCCAACGCCACCCAGCTGGACATGAAAGCCCTCACACAGGTTAAAATCTATGCCCACTGACAATGATATTCCTCCAGCCACTGCTATTTCTTTCCTTTCTTCCTTTAATCCTTCCTTCTGTCTCTTTGGCATTGCTTGCCCCTTTGCTTCTTCATACATGAGGTTTTTTCAGGGGCAAGGCATTTACAGCAGTTTCCAGCCACCCCAGAAGGTGCCATGTGGGCTGCCGCAACATGAGTACCTGCCGTATGGAACCCCAAGGACATTGCGCTTGTGGCCACAAGGACAGCCTCTTATCCTGCAGACAACAGCATGTTCTTCTGCGAAGAAGCCTCTCCCCTCAGAACATCAACACCCCAGACAGCAGAGACCACTTAATCATAACCTCTTTCACTTGGACTCCAAAAGGAAGGGGAAAGGCCATTCGGCAAGAGAGATGACAGGGCTCAGACAAAATGTGGGCTCCCAACGTGGGCATTTTGCTGAGTCTGCCTTTCTTTGCCAGAGTTCATGTTTCCTGGGGGAAGGGGACCTGCAAGAAATGAAACCCAACAGCCATGCCCATAATCAAGCCTGGAGGCTTTGCAGGAGAGCAGCTACCCATGGTCTCCCAGCAGCTGCAAGGCATGATGCTGACTGAGCTTCTAGGAGCATGGCCAAGTGATGCATGGAGAGAGGCTGGGAAGGCCACAGCTGGCAATGAGTGATCAGCTGTGGGCTGCTGAGTTCAAAGGAGACAGGGAGAAGCTGGAGAGGCTATAGCAGAGAGCTTCCCAACTGTGCAGGACTGTGGCCTTCCTGTCAGGCCTGGACTGCCAGGTGATGCCACATGCGCTGTATGTGATTCCAAGCAGAGACGTGGGGCCACGTCTTCAAGGAACCTGTAGTTCCAGGAAGGACATTGCCCAAGAGGATGGTGAGACACATGGGTAGGTACGGCTGGACTCATTTAGCAGAGACACATTGCCATGCATTGGAGCTGGCAGGGTGATGCTAGACATATGGGGAACGTTCCCTTTTGGCAATGGTGGACTCCCACTCTGAAGGACAGGAGCCCATAACAATGCTCATGACTTTCCCCTGTGCATTCCTGTTGAAGCCACCGTGGCAGAGCCGTGGTGCCAGGTTTGGGAAGGAGGGCACTGTGCAGAGAGGGAGCAAGTAGCAGGCTCTGCTCCTCGCTGGCAGGGAGGAGGGCTTCTGGTCGGTTGAACTCAGCATTGTAGAGATATGCATAGAAGGTGATTCTGACCTAATTCTTTAGCTAGAATACGTACTGTAGGGTTAACGGAAGGCCAGGGTGTTGACAAGAGTGGCTGGGGAACGGGAATGCCTCATCAGGAAATACCCTTCCTTGGGAAGAGACATAGCTTGTAAAAATACGTAAGCTAAGATGTTTTTGAGCAGTTTGGAACTGTCAGCAGATGAATGATAAAGGGCACTCTTAAATGAGCTATCCTCATTAGAATACTGAAAGTGACACCCACTGAGCTGTAGTCCCCAGCCCAAGCAGCGACTCGTACTCACTGGACAAGTGTAGTATATTTTAGGAGGGCGGGATCTTCAAACCAAAGTGAGAAGAGAACTAACCAATCATAGTAAGGGCAGTATGGCTAATGGGCATCACTGACATTTTTAACTGTATAAATACGGAAGGTGGTTGCAACCAGGTGTGCTACCTCTGTGGCAATCCAGCTAGCAGCTGAAATTGTGCAAAACCTGAAACAGACCTATATGTCATCTCTGTGTACATATATGGTGTTGCAGAGCAGATAAAGAAGTCTGTTTGTGAGACGACAGGCTGAGGCCAGGGACACCGAGCTCTCCCCATTCCCCCTCTGCAC